ACTATATAAATACTTATTTTAACTCTCTTATTGTTGTTGAGACCTCTCACTCTTTATGTTATCATTTTTTATTTTTATTTTTTACTCAAGTAAAGGTTATTCAACATTTTTAGATCTATTTCATATGGATATTGTATTTTTTTCTTGAAAAATACATTTCTTTTAGTCGGAGAAATTATGTTATATATGATAAATATAACATTATTATTTTTTATTTCACTCTATTTGTATTTTATTTATTATTTAAGAAATTATATTATAAAATAAAATAAACAAAGTATGAAATTTGGTGGTCTAAATTCACATTTTTGTTAAAAAAGAATGACACGTTGACTTGACTAACTCTTACTTCAACTCACATCAGAGTTTGTGAATTATGAAATATTTTACAATTTAAATTAAAAGATATTGGTTTGGAATGAAGTACTCAATACAAATAAATTAATGATCACTTGTAATTTTTTAGAATTATATAAAGATATAAAATAATACAATATTAAATTAATAAGAGATGGTTACATATTTTTTTAATGTGTATGTAAATTCCATCAATATAGAGTATATGTTTCAAATGTACTATTATATATTTTTATGAAAATATATGGACATGTATATGTTAAAATAAACAATGACGAATTTAAATTGACATATCAAATCTAAAAATTTATCTATATATATGCATATAGATGTCAAATTAAAAACTATAAAAATATTTGTTTCTTATGTTACATATAGATATCATATTAGTTATGATTTTTTCTATTTTACCTTGAAATATACCCAATATAACCGAAAACATAATATTGTGTTTGATGTTTCAATAAAAATAATAATTAAATAAAATTTTGACTTGAAATTTTATTTTGGTGATTAATTAAATAAGATTGAATATTTATTATTACAAAAAAAATATATTATAAAAGGAAAGCAACTCATACTCACAAACGGGAAGAGAGACAAATAATAAGTGAGATATCGGAATGAGAATTCATAATAAATAATTATGTATAATATTAAACATTATTTGTAACAAATAATTGATTATGAAAAAAATACATAATTAGGATTTGTATAATAATTGGTTATGACTAAAATAAGTATTTATTTATAACACATATTTATGATATTGTTTGAATGGTAAATAATACATAGAAATTAACAAAACTTATTTCATGGTAATAGATGTAGTTAAAGCATTTATTTAGTCAAGAAAAATTGGAGTGCAAATTCCAATACAATTATGATATAAATTAATTGTTTAAATGACATAAATATATTTTGTTGATAAATCATGCATAGAAATTGATAAAATTTATTACAATGTATTAAATATAGTTTTGGAGGGAAATTTTGAGCTGCTTTGCTTAAATATATATATAGATAAATAGCTCGCTAAAGTTGCCGCTATTTGAGAAATACCTTTTTTTGGTAGCGTGCCATTATTTGTATTCATTTGCAATTTAGCCACTAAATCCCGCTATAGCTCCGCCATAACTACAGTGCCATAAACGTTTTAGCCCGCTATTTAAAACCGGGCTTCTATCATTTTTAAACACATAATACTTGATAATGCTATTATTCAATTTAATTTTATGGAGGAATTATTGAAAAATCTATATATATATATATATATCTTTATCTATATATATATAATTGCTAGCTAATCATTAAATAAAACCTCATAAATAAAACCTAATTAATAAAACCTCATTTATTTTCCCTCCAAACGAAGTTATAAAAATTTTCATTCATATTTTACATTTCACATTAATACACCCCTATTAAGTGTAATCATATAAAAAAATTAATAGCAAAAAAATAGCATTAACTACTATAATAATAATATTAATAATAACAACAACAACAATAATAATAATAATATCTTGAAAACAATAAAAATGTTTACACTTATCTAATTTATATTTTGTGTAAAATATTATGAGTTGGTAATAGCATTAACTATTATATAATATAATAGCAAAACAATACATAGTTACACTTACAGTTCTTTTATGAAACCATATGGTTTCTTAGCAAAGTTGGTTACACTTAATAGGGTGTATTAATGTGAAAGACAAAATATGAATGACAAATTTTGTAACTTCTTTTGGAGGGAAAATAAATGAGGTTTTATAAATACATGATTACACTTAATTAGGTTTTATGAATGATATTATTATTATTATTATTATTATTATTATTATTTTATATTTCATGAAACAATTTTTTTTAGAAACAATTAGTAAATAGTTTTAATAGTATAGTAAAAAACCTTAAAATCTTATAAACAATTGTCGTTGTAATAATAATAATAATACTAATAATATAAAATAAAATTATAAAAATTACATTACCAGCAAATTTTTTTTAATCAATATAGTGATTCATATGTACTCAAATAATTTATATAAATATTATTTATTTTTACTAATGATTAAATCTTGAAAATGTGATATGTCCATTATCTAGAATTTTAATATTAAATTCACATATCTTGAAAATGCGATATGTTTATCATCTATAATTTTAATATGAAATTCACACATATTACTTATAATAATTTATGTACATCTGTGCATGTGCACAGGATGATAACTAGTATATATAATTGCTAGCTAATCATTTAATAAAACTTAATAAATAAAACCTATTTAATTTTACCTAATAAATTATACCTAATAAATAC